AGGGAGGGAGGGAGGAAGGGAGGAAGGGAGGGAGGGAGGGAGGAAGGGAGGGAGGGAGGAGAAAAATCTTCAGAGCACTTTAAGGACTTGTCAAGTGTTTGTGTCTAGAAGTGAGTAACACAAGCCAGGGGTGGTAAAGATGCTCTCTTCAGTCCGTTGAGTTAGCTATATCTTCCTGATCTCAATAATTCTGTTACAACTTTAAAGTCCCATCTTTCTTTCCCAGCCATTGTGGATGTGTTCAGAGCTTATTTAACTCTCCCCAGGTCCTCCAAATCAATCCTCAGCATCCTTCTCTCCTCTTCACTAAGAAGTTTTTCCTTACTGATAATCCCTTTCCCTAACAGCTGCTGAAGACAATTAGACCATCATTCATAAAGAGAGAAGTCAACCTGGACTTTTCCTCTGGGCTTTCTGAGACAATTTAACACACACACACACACACACACACACACACACACACACACACACGCACACACGCACACACACACACACTTGAATGCTCTGGGCTACACTGCCCACAGTGGGGTCAGCATGGCCTGGCTATAGGAGCACACACTTGTGAAAGCTGGCTGGCTTTCCACATCATGATACTGCATGGATGACAGGAAAGCTCTCAGAAGGCAAGATGCCTGACATTTTCTGGTTTTCAAAAAGACATCCAGCACACAGCTTAAGAGGTTAAAGAATCCTAGGTGATAAACAACAGACAGGAAGTTAACCTGGGTGTAAAATCTCAGTGTAGGGGCTGAAATGGCTGAGCAGCTAAGAGTACACATTGCTCTTACAGAGATGTATGTCCAGTGTTCAAGACCTTTATCACTAGGCTTACAAGCACCTGTAACTCCAGCTCCAGGGGATCTGTCTACCTCTTCTGTACTGCACTGGCACCTCGAGACACATGTGTACATATCCGCATGGACACACACAGAGAGACAGATGATTTAAAAAATGGTAAAAATAAATCTTAAAAAACCTCAATGTACAAGAATACAAAGAAAAAAACATCTTTTCAGACATACAAGCTTAACATGTCATTGCTTGCATGTGATGTGGAAACAAGCACTGGATTTCATGAAGCTGGTTGCCTCTTGGTGCTGGAATAAGGAAGATCATCAATAGGGATGCTAAAAGGTGTGACTCTGACTGATTGAGAGGATGCTGGCATGCCTGTCAGCTAGAATCCTGTCATCAGGGGTGTTAGAAAAGCTGCTTAGGTGAGGTCACTAAACATCACTTGGGGACTCTGAGAAATTGCCTTTGGGGACACAGAGAAATTGCCTTTGATGTTCTTTTTTCATTTGTTTGTTTTTGTTTTTGGAGACAGGGTTTCTCTGTGTAGTTTTGGTGCCTGTCCTGGACCTTGCTCTGTAGACCAGGCTGGCCTCAAACTCACAGACATCCACCTGGCTCTGCCTCCAGAGTGCTGTGATTAAAGGTATGCACCACCGC